TCCCAAGTGGCAGGAGAGCGCTCGGTGACCACGCGCCGTCCCAAGTGCCTGCGCCCGGCACCGAGGGCAGAGCCCCACAGGGGAGGGCTGTGGGGTGGCCACGGCTTGGGAGTGAGTCCGCGGGGGACCTTTCGAGGACCCCTTCGTCCTCTGTGTCCCGTGGTCTGGCAGCTGCAGGGCCTGCTGCTGGACGAAGCAGACGCTAGGACCCGAGGGCCCAGCGACACGGCGATGCCTGGCGGCCCCCCTGGGGTGACGTGTGCAGTCACCAGCACCTTTAAGGCCAAATTCCAAATTTCGTTTTCCTGAAGCTGTCTTACGATGGGTCCTGGCACAGGGCCCTGGTCCCCCAGGCTTTGGTGATTGATTTTTTTACCATTTAATGATTTTAATACATTATTTGTAAAACCCAAATCATCTAGGGGTAAATTTACCTCTGGAGATGTAAACAAACAAAGTGAACAAACTGCCATTTTCATGGAGATCCTTCATGACCGTTGGTTTGTCTATAAGCTCAGAGGCGTCTGTGTGCTCCTGTCACGAGGATGGTTGTAAATAGTCTCTTCCACTTTGCCTAGCGTGTTCTCTGTGTTTACAACCTCCCACTGACCATGGGCGTGTCTGGGGGGGCAGTGGGTGAGCCGCCGGGAGCTTGAGCTCCTGCAGGGGGGGCGGGGGGGGAGATGGGACGGGAGGCAGGGGAATGGGGCGCGGGAACGGGATGGGAGACAGGCGGGACGGAGGGAATGGGGCCCAGGGACGGGCGATGGGGTGCGGTCTGCAGGCTCTCCTCAGCTGCTTGGCTTCTGTGGCTTCTCTGTCTCCGGAGGTTTCTTCTCATTTGACACGTGTTTAACCCCTAGAAGCCTGTGTGCCTCGTTGGTGGTTGTGCGCCTGGGTCACTGAAGACCCTGTCTTACTTCCTTTCATCCTGAAAACTGGCCAGATTCACCCGCAGAATCCAAAGGGAAATACTTAGCACCATGAATGAAACTGCCTTCTGGTTCATGTCCACTGTGTTTCTTTCCCTAAAGTAAGTTTCTGCCCATGGTGTGGACCGGGATGAAGATGCAGAACGCTGGATGCCGTGACCTCTACAAAACCCACGGGACAGCCTCTCGGGCTTCATAATGATATTGCACTTTGAGGTCGCCACTATTTGAGGGACAAGTTTGTGACTCCCCGAGGGAGCAGGTTTCCACTAGACCACGAGCAGTCAGGGACGGGTGGTATGCCAAAGTGGCCACGGGACGTGTGTCTCGTGTGCAGGTGTGAACGTGGCCACACGCCTCACGTGGCCTGCTAGGAACTGGATGCTATCTTTGGGCAAGGTTTAAGGTCTGTTTTCTAAAGTTGTAAGTATTGAGACTAATGAATAGAATAGTTCAGTAATTTAAATGTGTATTTATTTTTAATGGAAGGATTTTGATTAAAAAGAAGCTAATTGACATGGAAACGTCTGAAATTTCTTACCTGCAAGAAAAGTGAACATTTTGTATTTAAGTGAACTATAATGTGCACATTTTTAAAATAAATAAATCTGACATTTGGAAGGCCTGTAATTCTTTGGAAAACGTGAGCTCGCTCTAACAGTGATAGGAGGCCGGGGTACAGAACGGAGCCCCCCTTCTCTTCTGGAGTTTGCAGACTGGGCATCCGAAATCCCGGGGTTTCTTGTATTGAACCAGAGGCTTTTCGGAAGACAGCCCAGGGGTCAGGTGGAAAGTGAAAAATGGAAGATCAATTATAGATTATCTTCTTGGGGCTGATCTAGACGGGGGCCGGCCACAGGACCACAGCCTTCACACGTGGCACAGGGTAGATCAATGTCATGCGATGGGGATGGATGCATGAGTCACAGGACTTCACGACGCACCAGGGGTGCCCTGGTGAAGGGAGCCCCCGACCCACCCAGTGCTGGACACAGCTCTCCGCGGCCGCCCCCTGCCGTCCTGGATCTGCACACCCCAGCATGGCCTCCTAGCCGGGGCTTGGCCCCCAACACCTGTTCGCTGCATTGGATTCTGAACTCTTGATTCCTTCTGCTTCTACCTATTGTTTTGTCTTGCTGGGGGCGGGGAGGGCGGGGCACTCGGGTCGTGTGTGGCTTCTGAGAGACCTGCTGGCTGTGGTTTCTGTGGATTCACCTTCCCGGCCAGGCCGTGTGCAAGCTGGTAGGTACCCCCCTCCCCCTGGTGTGCCAGCCAGGCAGGGCACAGACCATGCCACCATTTTGGGTCCGTGTGGTGCTGGTGTTGGCGCAGGTCCCCCATTTGGTAACCCTTCACAGGCCTTGAGTCCTGGGCGGTTCCTGCTGGGGGTGCCCCCGTGCCCCTCCTCCTCAGCTGCCCTGGGGGTGTGGGGGTGGCCTGCAGCAGGAGATCTGGGGAAGGTTGTGCAACAGGTCCCTCAGGACAGTGGCAACAGTTGAGTGCTGAGCCACACCTAGAGCCAGAGATGGCGTGGGAGCCGGGGCTGGAGGCCAGGGGGGCTGGAGGGGCCACCCGCTGGAGTCTTGAATGCTGCCCTGTAGGGCAGGGTGGAGCCCCCGCTTGCTTCGAATTCCCAAGCCTTTGGGCTGGCCTGGAGCTCAGCAGGTGGAAACTGCCTGCCCCGGCAAAGGGAGGGAAGGTGGGGTGAGGCTGAGGGACTGGGGGTGGGGGGATTGCGGACAAGGGCCTGAGGAGAAGTGAGTAGGGGGAATGGGGGAGCTGGTGGAGGAGCTGGAAATCTAGGGAGGTGGGGAAGTGAGGAGGAGGGGGCTGGGGGAAAGGCAGGCGGAGTGGTGGGGTTGCTGGGGAGGTGGGCGGGGCAGGGCGAGGCAGGCACAGCGACTGCAGACCGAGGGAGGTGGGATGGCGGGGAGGCGGGCTGGGGTAACAGGACGGTGGGCGTGGTCGGCGGAGGTGGGGAGGGGTGGGGGACAGGGGCCCTGGGGAGGTGGGCGGCCGCGAGCCTCCTTCAGCACCGCGGACAGCGCCCGGGCCCAGAGGCTCCCCGCGCGCCAAGCCTCACACACAGGGTCGCGGTTCCGAGGCACCCGGGCTTTGCGGGAGGTCTGAGCCCTCCTGGGGTCGCAGAGGAGGAAGGAGGAGGGCGGCCTGGACCACCCGGACTCCATCTCCGGCCTGGCGGTCGCCATGCTGCTGGAAACCGAGCTCAGTCGAGACCGAGATCAGCCGGGGGCCCCCATGGCCGCTGCCGTCTGCAGCTTCCGTGGGACTCGGGGTAAGGGCCCCCGTGAACCTATCGGCCTCCAGCCCGGGCAAGGCGAACTCCAAGGGGAGAAACGGCTAGGATGGCAGAGTCAGGCATAGGGACAGTGGGGAGAGAGGGACCCGGCACACAGCAGAGAAAGGAAGAGAGTCTAGAGAAACCACTGGGGTGTGGGGGGGGGGGGGTTGGCACCCATGAGAGATGGAAACAGGAGCGAGGGATGCAAGTCTGACAGATCCCATGGGCAGAGGGCCTGAAGTTCCCGGTGATGGCTCCAGAGGCCGTGGGCTGTTGTGGAGCGCCCCGAGAACAGAAGGGGCCTTGCAGACACTGCTGGGGGGGGAGGGATAGCTCGGAGTGGGGGGGGGGATCAGTTTCCTCCAGAGACCCCACGCCCCTCAGCTCTCCCACACTGCCCAACAAGGCAGAACTGGGACCCCTGGGCGGGTCTCCCGCCTGAACCGCCCTCCCCAAGGGCCACTCGATCGCCATGGACGTTGGAAAATAATGGAGGCATTGTTGGCAGGCCAGCCAGATGCTGAGCGTGTGGGGCCGCCACTTCCTGGACCCGCTGCCCGCCTGCCCCTTCCCTACTCGAACCACACATGGTCCTTCTAGGCAGCTGACACTCCACGGCTGACACCCCAGTGCACCCAGCACCCCTTGGCTCCCCGGCTTGTGCACGCTTGCCCTGCCCTCTGGGTAGCAGCGTCCTGTACAGGGAAGGGATGCAGCGCTGGTGGCATGAGCCTTTGCTCAAAACCATGACTCTCTGGTTCTGCTGGGATCTGGGAGGACACTGTGCTTTTCCTGCCCACATCCTTCCAGGCTTGCCTCCTTGGTAAAGCGCACAGACCAGGCGAATGGAGGCCAGGATAGGAGCAGGGTGACGACTGTCCTTCACCATGGGACTCTCCCAAGTGGAGGGACCTGGAGGCTGGCGGAAACCTGCTCACCCCCATCACTGCCCGGGGCCCTGGCCTCACCATGCCTTATGCTGCAACGGCCCCACACTGCTGTTTCTTAATTATTGGGGGGGGGGTGCTGGCCTGTAGTGCCCTCTGGGCAGGAGCAGCTGCTCTGGGGTAGGTGCGTCTCTCTACAGGCAAGCATGGGTGGTTCCTGTGGGCTTACCCTTTGGATTGGGGACAAGATACTGGAAAATCGAGTGTGGGAGCTGCATTCTGTGCAAGCCGGTGTGTGGAGGGAAGTGTCCTTCCTGACCTTCCTGACCTGAGTCCTGGCCGCGTGTCTGGGCCCAGGACACCGGGTGTACCTGCTGAGAATCGCCCTTCTCTGTGCCCATTCTGGTGGCAGTTCTCACTGTGGGACCCAGAAGCTGGTCACAGCCAGGAGGTCTGAGGTCGCTTCTGGCTCCTGGTGGCTTTGCTGTGAGCCTTTGGACGCTACACTCACCCTCTCTGGGTCTCGGGTCGCGTTCTTGCCGTCACCAAGCCTCCCAGCCCCGGCTCTCAAAAGGCGGTGGGCCGCGCCTCTCTCCCGGACAGTCCTCCCGGGACCCCCAGCCTGCCCGCACGCGTGCACGCCCGAGCCCAGGCCTCAGCCGGCGGCCCGCGGCGCGGGGCAGGAAGCAGCGGGGCCCGGGTAAGCGCCCGCGGGCAGCCCTGGCCTGACTTCTCCCCTGACTGTCCCCGCCCTCCTCGGCCCGGCACTCGGGTGGCTGGCGTCTGGGCACCCCGAGTCCCCTCGCAAAGGCGCGCAGAGCCGGCGGACGCCCGCGGCGCGTCTCAGCGACCCCCCC